TGACTCCTCATCACTATTCTACCTGCATCTCCTCTAAAACCTCTCATGTCCTTCCACACACAGCTCCATCTTTGGACCCCCTTTGACTGTATGCCCCACTCTGCCCCCGCACCTGGTCTTGCACTCAGCACAGACTAAGTCCCTCCTTGTCTACTGTATTTTGCCACGGATGATTAACCTTGTTCCCGTGAACACTATGATAAAAATTCCAGTCTTAAAAGAGCAATTCAAGACAAAATTACTAAGGACTTACTACCTTTCTCTTAAAAGGTGATGCACAGTCAATGTACAAAATTGGAGGTGTACTTTGATGTAAAAGAGTGTTTCCCAAAAGTTGAGGATAAATAAACTTTTGATAAATTCATTCTCAAGTATTTACTGAACATATTTCCTCTGACTCACTATACTTAGAGGTTTGAGGATAGTTTTAAAAATGGTCTCTACTTCCAAGAAATTATCCAATAATAATTTAACAAAGGAAAGAAAAAAACTCATAAGCACAACGTGTGGTACACTGTAAGTAGTTAATAAATGTCAAGTAAATGAACGCAATAGAGTTAGTAGGCAAAAAACAACACATGAAATGTCGAATACCGGGAGGTGTGTTTATATACAGTTTTAACAATGGGAGAAATATTTGTCATTTGATGAAAAAAAGCATATTGTACAATCAATATGATCTCAAATGTAAAATCGTATGCAAAGAAGCTTAAGAATACTAGCTACTGGGTGGAGGTTATTGCACGTCATTTTTATATGTTATAAATTTTTTTCTGTCCCCTGCTTATAATAATGAGCGCACATGTGTATTATTCTCAAAAGAAGATGATTTATTTTAAAAATAGTATAATCAGGAAAGGGAAGTTTCAGAGAGAGAGTCATATTTTTGGACTGGAGTTGTTTGAGAAAGCTTCTTGGGTGAATGAATTCTGAGCTAGGTTATTGAAACTTAGGAAGAAAGGTTAGAAAGTGTTTTGAGCAGGGAACCTGGAAAGAATGAGGCCACATCAAACTATTGTGGAATGTTTTTAAAATAAACTCAGAAAAATGATCATTGCCCTTACAGTCTACTATTTTTTTGTTTATAATCAGTGGCAGCACAGCTGCTCTTGAATCAGTTCTGTACAATTTTTCCCTGAGAGCACTTCATGAGTAAAAGAGAATGGATCCCTCACCTAACTACCTGGCAGGCATAACACTCTAGAAAGCATGATGTGGTCTGTCTTATTTTGTCTAACAATCTCCTGTGTTCTTTGTTATTTGCTCCCTTATATACGTATTTGTATTAAAAGAGAAATAATGCTATTTTTCCTTCGAACTATTAGAACCATATTAGAAAAAGATACTGTCCTAGGAAGCCAGGCCAATTTCATCCAATGATTTCCTTTCTTTTGTTCAACAAACGTCCTTGAGTTGTGCAGAAACATGGAGTGCTTCACAAATTTGCCTGCAGTCCTTGTGCAGGGCCCATGCTAATCTCTGAATCGCTCCAATTTTAGCCCCTTGGTGACTTTCATGTTTCCGCTTGGTATAGTAACCAGACATCCCTAGGTCATATATGACTGTGCATTTGAAGAGGGAGCAGATTAAACAATCATCAAAGCTTCAAAAAGTAAAATACCAGTTCTGAGTTTGTATAAAAGCAATGGCTGTTGCATTTGCTCTCATTAACAGTAAGGAAAAATAACCTACAAGACAGAAGCAAAGTGACTAAATAGCCAGAGAATAAACAGGGCACTGCAAATCCACTTCTACGATAGGAGGAAATAGGACGTAACCTGGGTTTATTTTGTTTAGAAGAATTTGAATTGCCTATACTCGTACCTTAGTTAACTGTAAAAATGCCTTTCCCAGCCCTTTACATTCTCCTGTGGCCCCTTCTACTATCTGTTGAATTTACGATTTCTGATATGTATGCAGGTATAACATGCCAGGTTTTGATTAATGCACACTGATAAGAAAAAGAGGTAGGACATAAAGAAATTTAGTAATGAACGTGATGCTTTTTCTTCCCCTTTCTACAAGAGTGGCCCAATTCCTTTCTAGGGCCTCTGGTGACTTTGTTTCTGAAAGTGCCGTGAACACCTATAGCTAAGAAATTTTAGAATCCCTGGGTATTGCTAGAGTAAACAACAGCCACGTGAATTTCCCTGTATGATAAAGAAAAAAACGGAGTTTTAAATTTGTGAGAAGACCAACAGTCAAAGGAGGAACCTTGAGAATGCAGAAAAGATTTGAACAAAACGGAGGGGTGTCTAAAGAGAGAAAGGGCTGGGGAAAGTATAGAAAACTAAGGCTCAGGGGAGGGACTAGCCAGTGAGAAATTCCTCATAGTAAAATATGCTTCAGGGGGTGGCAAACTCTTTTACTATAGGTAGTAAATACTTTTGGCTCTGGGCCATCTCTAGCTCTCTGGGGCAGCTGCTCAGAGCAGCCAGAGACAACAGGGAGACAGACAGGGGTGGCTGTGTCCCAGGAAAACTTTCTTTACAAAACAAGTGGCCAATTGGATCTGGCTCACAGATAATAGTTTTCTGATCCCTCGTAGAGCTAGTAGGGAACTTTTTAGTTCAGTGACTTCCAATATTCAGTGTTTTGTTGTGTGCCACTTTCCACTATGGTATAATTTCCCTGTTTGCCCCCAACTTTTAGCATACACATGCCATACAACAGCTGGTGGGAAGGCTGCTTCGAATTGGCAGAATGAAGGGACAGGTATTATAACAAACCCAAGTGGAGGGGACAGAGAGGGGAAAGCAATCAGAGGAGGCCCAGTGAGGGGAAGAATTCAGTGAAAGGCAAAAATGAAGGAGGGGGGAAGGCACAGGGAGGGAAAATAAGTCTCTAGCAGGGGTCCTCAAACTTTTTAAACAGGGGGCCAGTTCACTGACCCTCAGACAGTTGGAGGGCCGGACTGCAGGCCCTGGGACGAGTTGGCTGCTAAGCAGGACAGGCAGCCGCGGCAAAAACACCCGGCAGGCCAGATAAATGTCCTAGGCGGGTCACAGTTTGAGGACACCTGCTCTAGATGACCAGTAAGAGCCCCTGTACATTTTTATTTCTTTTATTTTTTGAGAGAGTTGCCTCAAACTGTCCCTCAAACTGTTGCCCTGGGCCCTGGATAGAGTGCTGTGGCATCATAGCTCACAGAAACCTCCAACTCTTGGGCTCAAGCATAACTCTTGCCTCAGTTTTTCTGTTTTTAGTACAAATGGGGTCTCGCTCTTGCTCAGGCTGGTCTTGAACCCATGAGCTCAAGCAATTCACCTGCCTTGACTTCCCAGAGTGCTAGGATTACAGGCATGAGTCACGGCACCCGGCCACCCTGCACATTTAAAGGAAGTTGGATGACACCCAGCGGCAAATATTTGGGTTCCACAAGAAAAGGAAAAGCATGCTGCTTCTCAAAGGCTCACAGCATAAATAAAATACACAAAAGCATAGGGATGCTTTGAAAACACAGTGCCCGTGCCCAGCATTGACAGTCATCACCCCAAATCATTGGAAATAATAATAACCCAGGGGAAACAAAGGAATTTCTACATCCTGAAGTACTTTCTAACCTCTCTGCTATCCAAGACCTGCCTAGTGCAAGATCATATTTAAGTCCTGTTACATTTTTAATACTTGAGTTGTTGAAAACCTTTTGAATTCAGTAAGTGTCTAGGTACCTGCTATTTTCTTGACTTGTTTGCAGAGTTTGAGGTTGATCACTCTTGGTTTTCTGAGGATGTAACTGGATAAACACTTCTTTAGACTTTTCATCTGTATTATGACTAATTGGCAGGAAAACAATACAAAAGATGATTTTAATCACTTAAGTTTCTGTTTTGAAGGAAATTAGGACGGTTCATTTTGAAATCTAAGATATCATTTGCCTCAAGTTCATGATGTCTTTGCAAGATGTCTGCAGGGAAAATCACAACCAAATCTCATCTTTCAATACCAAGGAAATCCCGGATTAGGAAATAGAGCAAACACCACCTCGTATATTGTGTCAGAAGACTCTTAAATTGATTTTATACAGGAGTCCATGCCTTAAGAAAACGCATTTCACAATTTCTAAAAAATGCGAATTAGTAAATATGCCTTACGCTTAAGATTTTGACAGTTAAGCTTCCCAATATAAATGGCTTTGCACCACCATCTTACATGAGGCTTCCTTTTTCTCCATGGTAAACATACATGTTCTGTGTTCTTTGCAAACGATACAGTCGGGAAAGCAGCAGTAGCTGTCTTGAAGGTATATAAGAACCGACAGTAAAAGTAAGTATTTAATCACTTTTCAAAATCAGTAAAATAATCATGTGTAAATAGCAGCTAACACTTTCTGACATTCATCATAAGCAAGGCACTGTGTTATTTAAGGTAGGTACTATTCTTAGCTCTCATTCCCAGGCCAGGAAAACGAAGGTTAAGGAGCATTAGTATCTTTCGTAGAGCCCCGGTTTAATGAGTGACTGTGAACACACTGACTGCAAAGCCCATGCTCCCACCTGGTGTGCTACATGCATCTTTGGGGTTTTTTTTTAAATAAATATTTACATTTTACTCCAAAGAAAATACAATACCAGTACCTTCAGATTTTATGAGTTGGTCATAGGGATTTAAAAAGGGAAGCACAGAGTTAACTCACATCACCACTACTTCCTCATCCCTGGGTTACTCCTGACCTTGCCATGGAAATTAGGATGATAACATCACTTGAGACCGAGAGGAAGGCTATGAGTCAGAGGCTAGTGTTTTCCCAGGAAGAGGGAGGCCAACTTGAGGCCCATGGATGAGGCAGAGCAGAGGGCTGGATAGCCAGATGGCATGAGCTTCCAAGGAGGGGCGAGTTAGTAGTTAGATGAGGAATGGTCTGAAAGTGGGGTTGGGTGGCGAGTGGCACATGGCATGGCACTCTAATGCTAATAGAGTGTGGAAAGGCCAAGGTGGGGGGAGGGAAATGCACAGAGTGATTATATGATCAGAATCTGGGAAAGTTAAAGATGGAAGAAAGAAGTAAGAAATCATCCATAATGTGTTATGAGTTTAAACAGATTTTGATGTTGACACAATGGACTGAATTTGTCCCCTTAAATTTGTATGCTGAAATTCTTTTTTTTTTTTTTGTATGCTGAAATTCTAACCCCTAATGTGATAGTATTAGGAAGTAGGGCCTTTTGAGAAGTAATTAGGTCATGAGGGTCTGGCCCTTGTAAGGGAGATTAGTTCCCTTATAAAAAAGACCCTGGAGAGTTCCTTCCCTCACTCCTCTTCTGCTGTGAGAGGACACAGTGAGAAGACTGCCACCCTGTCAGCCAAGAAACAAGTCTTGGCTGAATTTGCAAGTATGCCTTGATCTTGGACTCTCTACCCTCCAGAACGGAGAAATAAAGGCTTGTTGTTTAAACCACCCAGTCGGTGGTATTTTTATTATAGGTGCACAAATAGACTAAGAGAGTAGGTATATTAGAACAACAAGCATCCTTGAAACCTGGGATACATTTAGAATAAGTTAAAGGTGTTTGTCTAATTTAGCAGAAAGCTATAGCAGAACGTCTCCTTTTGTAGTAACACCCACAGTGGTGTTTAGCACATCCTTCCATTTAGTAAGTATTTGTTGTGCACCTCTTTGTGCCAGGGACAGTTTGGGTTGGCTTTGTATTCCTTAGTGAAATAAGACAAAAATTGCTGACCTCGTGAAGTTTAAGTTCTAGTGGAACTTAATTCATTTTAATAAGAGGGGATAGAGTATGAAAAAAATAGAGCAGGGTAAGAGAGAGCAAGAGGTGCAGTCTTTAACGGGATCGAGTAAGCCTCGTGGAGGAAAGTTTTGAAGAAGGTGAGGTCATTTCTCTGTGTCACAGTGTTCTTTCTATTTTTGTCTCATTTTAGTTTCTTGGTAAATCTTCAGACTGTTTGTGCAGTTTCTGAATTGCCTCCTGTGTGAGGGGGACACTTCAGCCTCTACCTTTTCAAGGCTTGGTTTGATTGCAGGTCTCCCACCGAGCAGGTGACCTTGGCCCTAAACTATTCTATCACTGTCAGTCCTTTTCCAGCTCTGAGATACCTGCTCTTCTGGCTAGGTAACCAGGAAGGCACTCTCTACTTTCATATTCTGTGTTTCTCCCAGAACCACCTTCCTAATGCTGCGGCCCACAGGTTGAGAATAGCTGAATAATCAGTCCTCCCCACTTAGCTTACTGCTTCTACCCACTGAATGATTCATCAGCCCAACTGCTTCCAAGAGCAGAGCCTTCTGCATTCTGATTACTTACATTTAATACTTCCTCTCCTCAATTTTAGTTCTATGCTACTTCTCACATGAAAATAAATAGGATTTTGTTACAGTAGTGCACTTACTAGCCCAAGAGGTAAAACAAGCCCCAATAAAAGTTTAGAAAATATTTCGAAAATTTCCTGGATGACACATATGGAATAGGTTTTATTGTGGGTTTCGTAGGTGTTTGGGAAGTTTGCTTCTCTGACTTTTAATGCTAATGAGGACCATGATCTTTCCCCCGTCCCATCCCCGGTCTCCTACCAATCAGAGAAAGCACAGAAAATGTCTAATGAAGAAATGGTGTATGTTCTGAGGTTGTTTGCAGAAGATAATCATTTCTAAGGAAACAATTTTATGAAATCATTATTGTCATGTTTCTTCCTAAAGATGATTAATATGAGGAAATGCTTTTAAATTACATGGGTGAAACAAATCAGTGGTGAGATGTGGGAATTTGGCCCTCGGGTTGATTAACAAGGACTAGGCCGCAGAGGATGGAGAATGAAGTAGTTCGAAGGGTGGAGTTAGAAAATCATCTTGAATATTTTCAACAGGAAGATAGAATCATTTCCCCTGTGTGGGAACCAGAGATCGGTACAGATACAGAAAATGAAAGGCCCCAACTTCTTTAATTATTGAACTTGTGAACATTTTTAAAAGTTAACTCACCAATTATACTGGTACTTAATGAAACACGTTAAGGGGACAAATGTATTGACACTAGTACTTTTATGAACGTACACTGTCAGGCTACTTACCTTTTCTTTTTATAATGAAAAAGGGCAAAGAACATTTACAGGTCAAGCCACAAAATACAGAGAACATTAGTTAGGAAGGATAACAAATGTAAACCTCTGCTAATTGATTATTGTTTTATGACACTGAGTTCACGACTAGGTTGTTTATAAGAAGGCTTCCTGTGACAATCTATTTTTTTAAAAAGTGTATTGGCTTCCCTGTGATATAACAAAATTTCAATTTCTGCAAAGCTTCTGGTGGGAAACTGCATTTGCTTAGAAAGTTTGCTGTAGAAAACTATTCACTTAAAAATTGGGAAAGGTGGGGTTTCTTATGGGTATAGAATTTGCTAATCAGCTTTATAAAACATGGATACTAGTGACTCTGACCTCACTGATTTTTGTTATAATTAAATGGAACGAAAGCTGTGTACAGTCTCTTTCCTGTCAACAGCATTGCTTTATTCAGATAGTCATCTTTGCAAGGCATTTTGCAAGTTTAAAAGGTAAATCATGCTTATAAGACGCATTTATTTATTTCTAAAATATCCTCTGGGAAGTCTCAGTTCTTCCACGGTGGCAGCCAGAGGTATGTGTGTCCATGGGGAGAGACAGTCTAATTTCTAGTGCTGTGATAGGATCTGAATTTAGAGATCAGTGTCCACAAGGTCTTAGCAAAACTCAGGGGTCCCAGGCTCATGAATACCTTTTGTGAAAACTTCTATTTTCTCTTCACGTAAAACTCAATTCCCTCTTAAAATGCAAAGCTTAAAAAAAAAATGTGTTCTTAGAATCGTACACAATTCCTTTAGTGTGAAGACTTGTATGTCTATAATGTGTGTCAAGGGCCTTCTAGGTGAGAGTTACTAGGTCTGTTTTCAGAGCAGTTTTTTTTTGTTTTGTTTTGAAATTTTCTTTTACTTCTCTTTGACTTCCAAGAGGAGCAAGGACAGTTTACATTTTCTAGGAAAATATGGCTGTACTTACCGCTTTCTGTGACTTAGAATTATCCCACAGGGAACAATGATGAATAAAATAAAGAAGCTCAGACCAAAGAACGTGCCTAAGGCAGTAAAGCAAGGTAATTAGATGTGTGGGAAATGGTAGGGCTTGCCAATGATATTTTTTTTAGATGCAACTATAAATTCTGCTTGACTCTGAGTTTTCTCTAGAGCACTTGTCTTACTTCCACAGGCTTACAGTTAACAGGGTGAGTGGAGCAATTCTTTTTTCTTTTTTTGAGACAGAGTCTCACTCAGTGCCCTGGGTAGGGTGCCGCGGTGTTATTATAGCTCACAGCAACCTCAAACTCTTGATGCCTCAGCCTCCCGAGTAGCTGGGACTACAGGTGCCTGCCACAACACCCCAGCTAGTTTTTCTATTTTTAGAAAAGATGTGGTCTCCTTCTTTCTCAGGCTGGTCTCGAACTTCTGAGCTCAAGGGATCCACCTCAGTCTCTCAGAATGCTGGATTACAGGCCTGAGGCACTGAGCCCAGCCAGTTCTGAATCTTTAGTCCAACAGCAGCCTGTCTACAAGCAGGTGAGAACCAGCCATGGGGCTGCTGGGCTTCAGCTCTCCGTGCCCTGCCCATGTTTCTTGCGTGTGAAACAAGACACAGGCTATTCTGTGCAACCAAAATTCCCCTGGAAACAAACTCTATTCTAAAAATATTCTTCTTATATAAGCAGGTAGAAGAAATGGGCTTCAAAAACTGCTCTCGTGGCCTTCAACGGGGCCTGAGAACCCATCTTGAAGCATAAATCACAGAGGAAGTTGCATTCTTCGGCCACATAAAAATACAGAATTTTTGACACTGATGAATAATTATTCATTTGTAATGGCTCGAAGACGTAAGAAACTTTGGATGAAGGTTACTCTATGGTCCTGTGAGGCTGTCAGTTTCACCTGACCTAAACTTAGCATTATTTTCTCTCTAACTGAGTTGACAGTTCAAGATATTGTACTTTCTCTTCTTACATTTCATTCCCTGTAAGTGTATACTCACAGTGAAAGATGATAGAATTCCTCGGCAAACCCTTCATAAAACTTACCAACTATGACAGCATCACGTTGGCCTATAAGGAAGACAAAAGCCATGAGAACATCAGTCTGGCACACAGCATGATGGAACAGGTCCTTCAACCTGTGACAGCTGGTCCTAATTTTTCTTCAATTCTTTCTACTATTTTTCCTAATATAAAAAGCCATTGGAATCACACACTCTAATTTTATCTTGTGTACTCAGTGAAGATGTTTTTCTTTTAAGTTAAAATTCTTGTCATAATAGTTATATGACAAGAATTATATGACAAGTTACAGCCTAAAATTAAAAAAAAAAAAAACAGAAGAAAAGCATCACTCATAATCCTAAGACCCCCAAACCCTTTGGTATTTCTCTTCTGATACATTATCTCATTGAATCTAAGGCTTTGCATATTTATTATATGATAGAAATGGAAATTAGAACTAAAGCAAACTCATAGAATTGATTCTGCTAGATGTATCATAGTGTATTCAATGATTTCTACTGTATATTAAGTTGTTTCTAGTTTTCTTTGTCATGAAACCCTGAATAAAAATACACAAACTATTTTTATAATTTTATATTATATAATTAATTTGTTATAATTTACATTATTATTTTATAATTACTATTGCTAATACAATTACTATTATATTATAATTTACATTTTTTCATTAGATTGGATTCCTAACAGAGCTAACTGACATGAATATTTATATTATCTCTCCATATAGTACATAATTGTTTTTTCCTAGTTTTTTATTTATTTATTTATTTGTTTATTTTAGTAGCTTTTTTTTTTTCGGCCGGGGCTGGGTTTGAACCCGCCACCTCTGGCGTATGGGACCAGCGCCCTACTCCTTTGAGCCACAGGCAGAACCCCTTCCTAGCTTTTTTTCATAACCTCCTTGCTTTTTATTGCTCCCCCTTGAGGCCAGAATTGAACTTTTTATTGGTTGTTCACATAAGAACCTTTTTTGTTGTTATTAATATCCTGGGCAATGAAAAAAATGGTACTGTGTTCTTTTCTCCTGCATTTCTTCAGTTCTAGTGAAGTTACACAGTTCCCATATCTTTATGTGCCAAAGAAAAATTTTGTCTACACTCCTTCTCCAAATTTTGCTAAGACAGCTTCTGCATTTCCCTGTGCCTTTTCCAGGGCTGTGTTGTGTTGAACTGTGCAGAACTGAAGAAACTCCAGTTACCTTAGAAATAGCATGGAGATGTTTGTGAACTAAGAAGATCTACAAGGTGAGGGGGCCCCTAGGAGACCAATAAGCTAACTTGGGTTGGTGCTTTTGAAAGACCCTCTGGAAGAAAGAAGCTCACTTCTAGGAAAGCAGTTGCTCTAATGAATGGGACTCTGGGGAGCAGGCATAGGTGAAGTGGATTTTAGGACATTTTTATGAGTGTCATGTATTAAGCTTCTCTGAGAGATTCTAGTAAAAAATTCTCTTAACTTTACATCTGTTCTGGAGTTGAACTCATTTGTCTTGCATACAACATGCTGACCTTGAGACAGCATAGTTAAAAATGTTATGTGTTTCAATTCTGGCCTCAAGGGGGAGCTCAAGATCACCCCTTGCTCTGAGGAAAGTACTGGTGCACATAACAGACAGGGGTCCTCCATACCTGGGGCCATTGAAATGGGAATATGGTAGATCTGAGCGTTCCAGTAAATTCTTCACTTTCTGATGCTAGTACTAAGAGGTTACTTTTCCTGTTTCGTTTTCTATTCTCTCTTAAAACTCTCTATGGCATGCTTTTCCAAACTTGGACTACCTTCCCAATTTACTTCCATATCTTCTATTTTAAAAGGGCCCAGGACTAGTATCTTGAGCAATCTATCCCAAGGTTAGGGAAAAGTCCCGTTTCTTTTATTTTCTTTTCCCTCTCTTTTCCATAGTCTCATATTTCTTTGCCTCTTCTCACTACAAAGTGGTAAGACTTCCAAGACCCAAACTAGATAGGGTAAAGAGCTGAGGACAAGAATGCAAAGGGACCTTCCTTTAGTTAGGTCTCAGTCCAGAAGGACAAAAGGGGACCTGTGGCCCAATCTAATTCACGAGGAGTCCACACTCACACCTGAGTTCCAAGAGCCTGTGGGTTAACAGTGATCTGGCCCATTCTTGTTCTTTGTGTTTCTCCTTCATCAGTCTGAAGAACTGCTTATTGTCTGGTGTTTGGAACCTTGGCTTTCCATTTTGTTATGACAATTCTAGAAGTTTCTCTTGTTTAGTTACATATGTAGGTCCTTTGTTCATTTATTTATTGCTAAAGTACACAGTCTCTATACAGAGGTAGATTGCCTGGTTTGGCTGCCCCATTTTGTGGGTACATTACCTAAACCCTCTGTGTCTCAGTTTCCCCATTTGCAAAATAGGGATAACAAAAGACTGTTCTCCTCAGCCTGGACATTAAATTATAATCAATCAACCTATCAATCTCATCTTTGAACAGTGATACTAAGTGCTTAATATATACGTACATACATGTGCTAACTTTTGTAACTATTACCACAACCACCACTGCTGCTACTTCTCTGATAACAGTATTCACCCTTCATTGTATGTCCTGCATATTTCCTTTATGGATTTCTCATTTATTTTTCAAAGTATGTTAAGTTCAAAGTCAAATTGGTGGATAGGTCAAAAAGTCAATTCTTTTTGTGATTTTAAAAATTATATCTCAGTTCAAAACGTTGGCTTCCTTCAAGTTGTTTAATAAACGTCCTTTTTTCTTTTTAACTTTAGCTTTTCTGTGGTTTGGCTCTCTGAGGTTTTTGAGAGATCTTACAACTTTTCATTACACCTGGGATTTACTGTAAGAGGAAAAGAAAGGCTTTCATTTTTTTCCCAATGCTAACTATATTATTTGATACCTTTCCCTTTTCCATAGGTTTATGAGGTATACATTATTATAAGCATCCATTTTTGTTCCACTTATTTAAATGTCTATTCCTACACTGATACAAAGTGACTTATGTATTTTGGCTTTATATTTTGTTTTAGTAACTGATAGGATTGATTCCACAATTATCTGAATTCTCTGTCAGTCCCAGCCAGATCTTCAGGGTACTCTAAAGGCGTTCAGTAGGTTAACCAATGAGCTTTTGGGGTAAGAAGCGGGTATGGTTTGATATTAAGGATGTGACAAGGCTGTAATTTAGAAATATTAAGAGATTAACTGTAAAAATGGATATGCACAATCTTGGTATACAGACTTGCACTATAAATAAGAATAATAAAATCTGGGAGAAGGCAAAGTATAGCATTAACTTGGAATAAGAAAAGTTATTTATCATTAATTGTGCTCATCTGGTTCTTGTTGTGTCCAAGCACAGGCTTTAGGATTTTCTTCTGTCTTACAATACCCTCCAGTCACCAGCAGAGGGCGACTCTTCTACACAGCTCAAGGATACAGGATGTTAAATCCGCAGCCTCCAGCTGTAGGAGTTTAAAATCCTGTAGCTTGCAACAATGAGGGAGACTGGCTGGCTGCTCTACAAAGCTTGGAACTCACTCCCTAACTCATGCGTAAAACATTTCTTGAAGGCCTACCCTACCACTGATGTTCTCCTGGCTTTTAAAGCTCACAGGCTGTAAATAAATTATTACTGTGTGATACATGCAACTGAGTGATATTGGTAACAGTGGTGCAGAGATGGGGTGAGAACTCTGAGAAGAGAGAGGCTAACCCTACTCGCCTTGTGATGGGCTTTCTGGGAAGAGATAGGGCCGAAGCTTCTAGCATGTGCCATAAACATCACATCACACTTGATGCCAGGATGGATGAATGAATGAACAGTAACCATGACTGGGCCATGTAGTGCCAGGCCTACATTCCTTGCACTTACGAGATGTACATATGGCCAGAGGAGGGTCCCATCTGTCATCCGCCTGGCACTGGCTCCACGGACTGCCTTCCAGAGAATATCCATCTTCACACTCCAAAGTTACTTTATCTCCATAGTGGTATACTCTTCTCATTTCCGGCTCCTTCCGGACTCCATTCATAAACTGTGGGAGGCTACAATTTACCTCTGAAATTTAAAACAATAGAAGGAAATGAATATTTTATTGTTACTTGTTGGTTTTAATTACTGGAAAGATCTGTGACCCCAAACCTACTTCACTCTTGACAAAGATGGGGCATGTTTTCAATCAGGAATTACTGATATTCCTCCCCCAAACATTTAAAATTCTCTGACTTTCATTTCTTAATGTAAAGTATGAGAATATGAACTATATTGAGTATCTGTTTTCTATTATTAAAAGCTCTGGAACTGGAAAGTGGTGGAGAGATTAAGGTTAGGATGAACACGTACTGGGCCTGGAGCCACGGCCCACACCAGGAGGAAACAGGAGTGAGTACCTTGTTAACTCTCTAGCTTCACAACAGATACTGGCATTCTTTGCTCTTGATTAAATGTGTGTTTCCCTCCCATTTCTGCACATAGAACAAAGAAGTTGGTAAATCATGATTCTGAATTGAAGATATCTTTTTGCTTAATTTACTTTTTCTCATTTATCTTTTGTTGTGCTTTCTTTTTTCCTGACCAGCCATCAATACTTCTTTCAACTTCAAGCAAAGACCCCTTTTCCCCATTGTAACAGTCTCAAAATTAGCCTAGAATCATTTTCTCCTTTATATTAACCAATAAAGTGGCATTTCTTCAAGGATGGCTTATGATGTTCCTACATCAGGATAGTCTCATGAGTTCATAAAGAAGAGACTTCTAACCCACTTCAAAACAGGTTCAGAGTCAAAATCAGAGTCCATGTAGTGGAGCTTGAGAATCTGTCTTTTTTTATAAGGTTCCTGGCTGATGTTGCTAATGGCAAGGATGTTGAAAGATGGCTATAAAGCATACTTGAAGGCCCTAACTCATAAGACAAGAGGAATTTAATGTAAATGAAGAGAAAGAATAGAATATTGCCCTTTTACTTTCAGGAGAAGGATCATCCCAGAGTCTCGACATGTACGATGAATCCTTGAAATATTTCCTGAATCTTTAGTATGTGACTAAAGCAAAGAAGAGAGAAACTTTTAGTTGGAGGCAGAGCCTCAAAGTCTCTGTATTTTGTGCACTCTATTCTTGCAGATAAGCACAGAAACATCACTTACCCGTTTTAAGGTGAGCCCCATGTTCTCTATCTCTAAAATAAGAGGGCTACAGAGATAAGAAAGATTTCTAAGACTTTGAGGACAGGACAGGAAGGGCCCTATGCTCCTGCAACCAGAGCTGCTCCTTAAGATTTGAAACAGGGGTATGTCTGAAGTCCCTCCTACCTCATTCCTGCCCTTAGTCAAGTATTTCTGAAAAGAAGGAATAGACAACGAAAGAAACAAAAAGTGAAATCACTTAACTTACAGTTTGTAAAGTCAAAAGAATGGCTTTAAAAAAGAGACACATGTACTGCAGTGTTTCAAAGCAGGATCTGAGCTGGGGGCCAGCCTTGCACCACCGCTCACAAGCTGTGTAACATGGACTAGTTACTGGATCTCTCTACCCTTAATCTGTCCCTCTGTAAAACAACAAGAGTAATAATCCCACCTCATCAGATCCTTTCGGAGACTAACACAAAAAAATTTCGTAAAGACCTCAGAACCCTGTCTAGTCATAGAACATTGTTTTTATTCCTTATTTTGTAGCTTTTAGAACATTGACAAGAAAGATTTTAAAATCAGGGGCATTTTTGCACACATGGAGGTGGAATAAAGGAAATTCGGCTATGTGCATAGCTCACGTATGTAATCCCAACACTTTGGGAGGCTGAGGCAGGAGGATCACTTGAACTCAGGAATTAGAGGTTGCTGTGAGCTAGGATGATGCCACTGCGCTCTAGCCCCAGGAGACAAAGCAAGACCCTATCTCAAAGCAAAATAAACAAAAACCCCACCCAAAGGAAACCAACAAAAAAACCCCAAACAAACAAATGAAATAGTTCTTGGGGACTTGTTTCTTTGTTTCGAGGATCGTAATGAGGCTCATACTATTTCAGGAATTAATTGCTGGATCTCTTTGCTCATGTGTGGTGAACTAGACACTGCCTGTCTTGAAGCTTCATTTTTCCTCACAACCAAGAACGCTTCTAGTCTCTTATTCACCATCCAGGGGTATTTGTGAAAATGACCTACAATGCTCTGAGATCCTTTAGAGCTGATAGTTAAAAGCCAGTAAAGCATTTAACATTGATGTCTGATGACTATTGTGTTGGAAATGCTGTCTACTCTTCCCACTTATTCTGCAGACCTGAGGCTCCTTATGTGGCCATCCTTTCTGCCTTCTGTCCTGATTTTTCTTTTTCTTTTTTTTTAGAGACAGAGTCTCACTTTGTCACCCTTGGTAGAGTGCTATGGCATCACAGCTCACAGTAACTTCCAGCTCTTGGGCTTAGGCAATTCTCTTGCCTCAGCCTCCCCAGTAGCTGGGACTACAGGCACCACCACAATGCCTGGCTATTTTTGTTGTTGTTGCAGTTTGGCTGGGGCTGGGTTCGAACCTGCTACCCTTGGTATATGAGGCCGGCACCCTACACACTGAGCCACAGGTGCCACCCTGTCTTGCTTTTTCCTCCTCTACTGATACTCAGTTCATTCACTACCCTCTGGGCCCTGTGTAGTCACCATCATTCCAGTAATCTCTTAGGCTTATTAACCTCATGTATCAGTTTTCCATAGAAACCCAGCAAGAATAAGACAAATGCCAAAAAAAAAAAAAGACATACCCTTACAATAATGATCAAAATGGCTCCAGGTTCCCTGGTCTGTACAAAAAATGAAGGCTTTTCCCACCAATAGGTAGCCATGGTGACAAATGTAGCTGACTGTCATCCCAGGAAGATATGGAGGTACATGCCTTTCAATGAGATGTGCATTCTGGATCTCAGGTGGATGTGGGCATGCTAAGAACAAGTTCACATAGAAACACAAGAAAAGATATTAAGTTAAACACAGAAGTATGAACATGCCAACACACTAATAGTGTCTTGGGCTAGTAGAGGCACATGAAGACCTGGTCATAAGCCATTAAGCATCAGCTGATCAGTGGAAGGTTGACTCTTTAAACCTAGACCTCTGAGCATAAGGGATCTACATGCTACCAGCTTAATGCTCTTCTGTCCTGACTGGAGGGTTAAGCTTGTATGGACAATCATAGCCATACATGAGCCTACAACTACCAGGGGCTGTCACTGAAAGCCAGACTAATATGTAGAAGGAATGAGCGACAGAGGCTGAGAGCACATCATTCAATTCCACTTCTGCCTGGCATCCTGAGTTTTCTTGGTTAATAGGGAGATGAAGGGCTAACCAAATGCAGTTAGTGGCTTCCACAGAACACTTGGAAGTAACAAAACAGCCCAAATACCTACAGCTGAGTTTCTTTAATTATTTTTATAGCATTTTTAAAGTAAATTATGCCCTCAGCATGTACTTTTTGTACAGCACACCCATCTAGGGCATGGAAGAGTCTTTTCTTTGGTATTTGTTTTCATTGCTTTGAAAATACTCTATAAAATCTGGACTTCATGATTCTCTCCACGCTCCACCTGCTCATCTCCTTGACCACCCTGAGCTCTGAAGCTCACAGGAAGGCCCATCAGAATACCACCAGCTGAAACACAGCATGGCACATCCAGAACCCATCTGTTATTCACCTGGAAGGTAGTTCTGTCTCTGACATTCATAGCAAAGCCATATTCACAAGCAAAACCAGTTGCCCCTACAGAAATATAGAGGTTCTTGGTTTGGTAGTCTGACCCCACTCAGGATATGTGGAAGCAGGTACTGACCAACAGGAATGGAAAGCTCACAGCGAGGGGCGGGGCTGCTCCAAATCCCATTCCCTTGACTGTCACTCGTGCAACGGATGGTGCTTGCCCCAATGAGGTTGAAGGCCACCCCTCTGTCTGAGTGTGAGTCACATATGTAGGATACTTCTTTTCCATAGGGAATATTTCCCAGAGGAGTTACTGTGTGTCTCCCATGAGGGATAGCTGGAGGATCTGGACAAAAGATTTCTAGAAAGACAAATACTTTACATTGTATTAACATTTCATAACCATGAAAGATGTCTGTATGAAGATGAACATATACTAATGGTGTCTTGTTGTTACGAATAAATCTTTTTCTTTTAGAAAGAGCACAACTAAGTGGGTGGAATTTAATTCTATAAGGTTTTTGTTGAGAAGAATGAACTGAGGTGAGACCTGTTTATAGTTTATGTCAAAAGCTTAAAAGATGGCATTCTGGAGCATCCAGATAGCCAAGTTGGTAATGAACTTGCAAAGCAATTAATTTTTTTAAACAATCATTTGTTTGCCTGCTTTACATCAGTCATGATAAGAGCCCTGGGTTGATGATGGGGTTCAAGAAAGACAAGGTTTTTACCCACAGAGACCTAAAGTTCCAAGGAAATCTTTGTGGAGTTTATTAAACATGCACTGCTATACTTTAGACGATGTAAAAGACCATTATCATCAGTACCAATAACAAATGTCCCAGAATGTCACCAACGTCCATCGGTAACTATAGTGATCTTTAGATCCAGATTAAATGGCTCCAGAGAGCCTTTTCTTTTCTTTTTTTTTCTTACTCCTAAAGTATCAGTTGTCATTTCTCCCTGATTGTAGTGTGTCTATATGGAGTAGTTCCATCCCTAAAATTAATGTGATGCTTCTAGTAGTATGTGAACTTAGGAATAGTTACCCAGATTGATCAGAATTGTGTATATAAACAAAGTAAGAACCTTAGCATATTGAAGGACTGAGTTCTTGTGCCTCAATTGTATCTGTTTGTGTTTATCTTAAGGTTATATTTATATTTATTTCTAGCTTTATGTGTCTCTGGAAGGTTGAATTTGTTGGATACCTGGGTTTTCCTATGTATTGAATGTTCTTATAAAGTTGGTTGCACTGATTTATCATTATACTCACCACAAGATACCCCAAATGATATCTAGCACAGCATTTTAACAAAATCCAAATTAAAATACACATTTTCTAATCATCAGGAATAAAAGTTACAAAATTCTTGCCTTGCTTTAATAAGCAGAATAGGATAAATCAATAAAGTCTTAGAATATAAAACATGTACTTTCATCTATTTATCAATCCCCCCCCTTTTAAGAGATAGTCTTTTTCTCTTTCCCTGGCTAGAGTGCAGTGGCACAATCACAGGTCACTGCAGCCTTGAACTCCTAGGCTCAAGTGACCTCCCACCTCAACCACCTAAGTAGCTAGGGCTACATGACTTTTTTTTTTTTTTTGAGACACGGGAACCCATGATGTTTCCTAGGCAGTCTCAAACTCCTGGCCTCAAGTGAATCTCCTGCTTTGACTTCCCAAAGCCCTGGGGATTACAGGCATGAGCCAATCAATTACTGACTCTTCAGCCTGTTTTATTTAAGTGAGTGGTTTGGGAATTTAGAGCATCTCATCATTTCAAATATTGACTCGCTGCCCCAGCTCCCTGTACCATACTGATTTATCATATAATTCTGTTTTATTTTCTTTAAACACATCACTGTTTAACATAGCAAGTCATATATTCTAATTTTTAAAAATTTTTCTTACTTATGTATTTTCATGTTCATTGTCTGCTTTCTAACTAGAAAATAAACCCTATGAAAGCGAGGATAAATCTCTCCTATTTATTACTCTTGCCACACCTGGGAAGTCCTGGCACCTGGGGCGCCTTCCATCAGTAACTACAGACTAAACAAGCTGAATAAATAGATACGTGAAGGGATAAAAAGAACATAAAAAGTTAAGAGATTACTCTGCTGATGACAAAACTAAAAAAGAAAAATAGATAAAATTAAAATCTGGTGAACCTCATGTCACCTATTTCCTCCCTCCACATCTCCTACAAAATTCAACACTACCATTAACCTAGTGATTTATAAATTATAGTAGTAACATAATACATGATATATAAGACCTACAAAACCTTTCTCGTAATTCTTCCAATAAAGAAGTATTTTTATCAGTGAAAAGAAGTTCCAGACAACAAGTGATTCCATAAGACAAAAGACGTTTAAAAAAATTCTGAATAGGGCGGCACCCGTAGCTCAGTTGGCAGGGTGCGGGCCACATACACGGAGGGTGGTGGGTTCAAGCTTAGCCCTGGCCAGCTAAAAACAACAATGCAACTGCAACAACAACAACAACAAAATAGCCAGGCGTTGTGGCAGGCGCCTGTAGTCCTAGCT